TGTCCTGGACCGTGATAATGTCAAAGCCTGTTGGCATGCTTTAGCTTATATCGCTAACTACATTTTATCCAGAAAGTCACGTCTGAGAGGCGATCCACTATGTCATATGGGCCTTCCCATGGAGAAGACAACTTATGAGACTTCCCTTTGGTCTTCCTGGGATCATACAACAACACCTTGTCTCCTGGTACAAAGCTTACTTCAGTAGATCTCTTATCATAAGTCAACTTCATCGAATCAGCAGACGTTTTCAAGTTTGTATGCACTTGATGGTGAATATCATCAATCCTTTCCGATAACACTTTCACAAAATCTGACACATTCTCAGGCAACTCTTCATAAGCTGGGTGTCCTGTTAACAGATCCACTGGCAATAGAAGTTCCCGACCAAACATCAACTTTCCTGGAGTGTATCCAGTGGCTTCATGCTCTGATTTCATTCATCTCTGCCAGTAGCTCAAATTGTGCTCTATATGCTTCCCACGGTGCCTTCCCATCGAATTCCTGTGGCTTCCTTTGTATTAGTTCACCCCTATTGCTGACATTCACATCTGGAATGCGACTTCTAACAGGACTAAAGATGTCTGCATTAGGGTTTAGCTGCGGGGTCTGGAAGGGGCTTGCCGTTGTCTGGGGCTGATTAAGTCGATAGTTAATGTATCCTCCTTGTGTAAAAGACAATAAATCATCTTTTAATGTATTTAATTCACTCTGAAATTTACTAATGTTTTTCATTTGTACTTCTTCTTTCTTTTCTTTTTCTTCTAACCACTGCTGTAATCTCTCTCTTCTTGTTTCTTTTGCTGTTCTTGTATTGCTGCCATCAAATCTGTTAAGCTGTAGTTTGATTTGCCACTTCTCGTTTCCATTTTTTTTCTTTTTCCGACCCACTCTATGACACTAATTTGTTACGTCTCCGTTCGTTAGTTAATTTTCCGTAAAAATTCTTCCGAAGGAACTTTAGCGACACAAGTCCTTTCTTAAATAAAACTTTTCTCAATACAATTTTGAAATACACAGAATTTCCAGTCACTTTAACTTGACTACTTTTATAAACACACGCTATAATTCACAACGATTCACATTACAAGTTAAACAAACGCTAAAATTCAGAACGAACGACTCACGTGCTCGACTCAACAGTACGTCTCTGTCTGCAGTTTAATTACACATTGTTGCCGTCAGTTCTTACCGGTCTTATGTATACAAGAATAC